TACAATGGCTCGTGTGCACTATAAAGAACCCAGTACATCCTTCTAGAGGAGTAGGGGGATACCCCGGTGTACACTCATCGAATCGGTTTGATTTGGATAGTGCTTTAAGATAGATAGCGGCGTTGTTGTTTTTGTTTTTAGCATATACCCGTACTCTTCACAATCTTTGTGGATGAATGATAATAATAATATTAATAATAATAATAATAATAATAATAATAATAATAATAATAATAATAATAATAATAATAATAATAACAATAATAATAATAATAATAATAATAATAACACTGTAACACTTCCACTGCATATGAAAAAAACTTAAATTATTACTAGCCGATCGACTATTTAGATATGTTACAAATGTGATTGGCAAGCTCATTGCTTCATTCCCAGCTGCTCAATTTGGGCCCCTTTATTATCAGTCAATATCAAAAAATAACCCTAGAGAAAGTTTTTTTTTCATATGCCCTGGAAGTGTTACAGTCATATTTTCTAAATTTAAAGTAAATCATAGAAATAGTGTTTCCATCACGGGGTCAAGTAAGTGTGATTGAATTATGAAACCTATAATTATCTGAAAATACTGCTGTGGAAGCCAAAGCTGCTTTTATAGCTGATGTTTTGTTTTTCACAATAATTAGGGTATCATCCGGATAGCTTATGACAGCTCAGCCTCCCAGAAAATAAATCCGCCACTGCCTACAAGAAATAAGGCAACTATTTTTTTTTAATTTTTTTTTTATATTGACTGATAATAAAGAGGTCCAACTTGAGCAGCTGGGAATGAAGCAATGAGCTTGCCAATCACATTTGTAACATATCTAAATAGTCGATCTGCTAGTAATAATTTAAGTTTTTTTCATATGCCCTGGAAGTGTTAGTCATATTTTCTAAATTTAAAATAAACTGATGTTTTGTTTTTCACAATAATTAGGGTATCATCCGGATAGCTTATGACCAGATGGTTTTACTGCCTCAATGAAGCAGTAATTGCCTTCAGTAATTTACAAAAACCTGGGAGCTGTGCTTATACCATTGGGAAAGGCACCTAAATTGATACAATTTGTTCTCTACCTGCATTTCAGGTATTTCTGTGTGTGGAATAAATAGGGACTGTATAGTATGCGTCCCTAAGATCAACTGAAGCTAAATATCAATTTGAAGATATAAAAAATGTTGACGTATGGACAGTATCCATCATAACATGTTGACATTCAACAAAATTGGTTCAACTCAGACAGGTCAAAACTAAGACGGAGAAACCCATTATTTTTTTAGTCTGGTAAATGTACTTTGACATAAATTTCCCTTTCTCATGTGTACTGTGTTCTATAATATTTTTATAAAATAGGATCCCAATCTCCTTGTTTATAGCAGCCTTTTTAACCAACCTCTGTAGTCTTGTAGTAAAAAAAAATGTTTTTGTTTTGACAGGGGGAAAACCCTCCTGTTTAAATTCCAATTTCTAACCTTTCACAGCTTGTAAGAGAAAATGGTCAGATATAAATTTCCACCAATTGTTATGGAATAATTTTAGTTGACCAACTGGACGGTCAATGATAGTTTTTGTTTTTTTTTTGTCTCCAAATTATGTTGTTTCACCCGTCTCACGTGGTATAAACTGAAACTGTTTAGGCCTTCTTCTGTTCTGGTCCCTGCTTTTGAGCAAGAGCCTGAGTTCAGTGAGCTTGGTTTGGTCTGAGCTTTCCCTGTGGTGGTTGTTATCGATAACCTAAAAAATGCCTCAATGTCATGCCTCTATTCAATGAATGACCACCTCCTGCAGCGGGAAGGTTTCGTCTATATGGATGGTGGTAATACGTGTTTATGTATTTATTTATTAAAAATTCATCACGATATAGATAAATATATTGACCAGGGGCGTGACTAGAATTGACTTGAGCAATGCAACAATTAGTCATCTCTAAAACCCTGGCCAACAACAATATGATAAAATATATATGAACATATAAAATATACAAAAAAAAAAAAACTTTAACAAATCTAAGATGTAGATCAAGGTCTTGTTTGACCTTTTACCACACCTAGTGGTTTTCTGCTATTCCTTCATGTCTTTACTGTGTTTTGAAAGATCATCCCCTAATACAAGCTTGGTAACTGGATTTTGGGGTTTACATATGTGTGAATATCTTTTATTAATATGTGGTTTGATCATCTTCTTTCCGAGACAGTTTACTTCATATTTTGCGTGACTCAGCAATGCTAAAGCATTTTGTTAATTTTGATGCTGTCAGCTTATAGTGATTGTAGAAAGGCATTTAGCCCTCTAGTCCAGCTTTTTTTTTACTCTCTGCAATAGTCTCTTGCTTTTGTGCGAGGTGCAAGGTTTTCCCAAATAGGTGGGTTTACCTTTGGCATGTGCAGGAGGGGACAATTTGATGGCGGTGGGTATTTGTTTATTGTTTTGTCATTTTTTTTCTTCCAATTTATTCTTAATGACAAACGATGCAGAATTAGCAATCGCCTCTTCTAAAGGGTCGCTCACCTCCACACAGGTGAGGCGAACTTTGCTGCTAAAAAGGGAATTGGTTGCTCTGGTGGAGCATACTCGCCATCCACATATTCATATCGGTCTTTGCCACTGGTAGATCATTTTTTCCAGTAGTAGTTGAAGGTTGCCCAATGGCAATTCCTCAAGCATTTGTTTCATCAGTTTCTCTAAATTGGTTAGCCTTTGGCTCATATAGGTACCATCGTCAGAATTTTTTTCGATTTTGACCTCCGTTTACCTCCCGTGGATATTTTCAGTTCCACACCTTTTCTTTTTGCATGCTGGCGGCGTTGCTCCCATCGCTAAGGGTATGCCTAGCAGCAGCAGCAGTGGTGGTGGTGGGGGTGGTAGTAGTAGTATTAGCTCCTGGCGTGTCAGCCCACGTGGATATTTACCACTATTACCAATAATTATCGGACCTAAAACTTAAATTATTTGCGATTCGTTGTCTGACATAGTTTAGAAACAAAGGAGAGTTGAAACAGTCAAGTTTGAAACCAATGAACAGCGGCCAATAATGATCTGGCGTATGCAACTTACGATTAATGCGTAAACCCCTGTTAGCTGTGCTATTATAACGTTAATAGAATTTAAACATAATAATTCTAAGCTAACCTGCTGATTCTGTAGATCGGTACAAGAAAACTGTTATAACTATTATTTGGATAATGATGCAACTACATGCTGGGCTCTACATCTTTAGGTCTACAACAGCTCGCGTTACTAATCCGTAGATGATAACAATTAACCCGAGACAGCTATACGTTGGTATAGTTGTCTCAGAAAAAATATTGTCACCTGATTTACAACAAAATTATTTAACAAAAAGTCGAACCCAAGTTAGACGCACCGACTTGCTAATACAGCATACTTTTACCATTTATTTCCTTATGTGCCTTGCAGAAATAAACATTATAAATATAAAGCGCTGGTTGTTAGCAATGATTACAGTTTATGAATTACAGTTCCTAACAAATGAAAGCTAAAATCTTTGTATGTACACGCTTCACGACGTCTTCACATCAACAAATACATCTTTTAATTCCTTGTCAGTTTACAAAATGTATATTATAATATTCTCTCTCATTATGTAAAACAACAAATAAATAATGCCCAAATAAGATAATATGAGAGAATAATATTTGTATCAAACATATCCCTTCAACTAAGTAATTTTCCTTGTGAGATTCAAACCTGCAGCCTCTCGCTATCAAGGCGAGTGTCATTACACTTACCACATAGACATGAGGTATAGGCGCAGATGTAGCTTACCTTTCTCTTATACACATTCCTGAACGAATCTGAGCGTCCTTGGTTTCCTTAAGGTATTATAATTGCCTTGATTGCGAGACGTTGCAAATTAGAACTTCGTCCGTCACAAACACATTTTTTTTTATACAAATGAAATAATTATATAGGCCTATTTTACTGCCTCCCGTGACAAAAGGGCATAACTGACAATTTGCTGTTTTGGAGACATTGAGCAAAATTTGTAATTTATTTAACCCTAGAATGTGTTCTAGTATTTGATTTCATGGTTAATGTATTCAAATAGACAAGTAATGTCTCTTCCAGTGTAGCACACATTTTTTCTATAAATATGATTTTTGCTCCGCTCAAAATGTCAGTTATGCCCCTTTGCCGTGGGTTTTCTAATTCAAGACATGTTGATAAATTGTTGGCAAAAAGATATAAGTACAATTTTAAATCAGATTATTCAACAATAACATTCAATATATAATTTCATATGTTAGTCATGTATAAACTATCAAATAAATGTACAATAATACCAAAGATACACATTAAATAATAAAAACTAAAATTACAAACGATTAAAAACCCATGTATAGGGTAACCAAGTTTACAAACGAGAAAAAGAATTAACATTAGTATGCTGTTAGGTATCAACAAAGCCTTTTTGGCTGAAGGTGCTAGATCAAAGACCCTGTGGGTAGGGGGCCTTAGGGACACCTAGCGGTCTGTGGCCCCGCACAGGAGCGCATAGGCGTTACGTCACTGTGTGAATGATGCAACGCAATAGAACTGTTGTTTAGTTAGAATGCGCGTGTGACTGTTTCTATGTGTACGTTATTCAAGAATTACAATTTTTTTTTTATTTTATTTACAAACTAAAATAATAAATATATATTTTAAGTCATGTAATTACAATATAAATTAGCCCGTATTATTATTATTATTATTATTATTATTATTATTATTATTATTATTATTATTATTATTATTATTATTATTATTATTAACAATTCTTCTCTATAATCCAAATTCAAGTAATATAATAATAAATGATTACGAATATTATTGTATTTTTTATATTATAATAAAATATTTTGAAAATGTATTATATATTTAGATTTAGATGGAAAAGTAAGTTGTAGTTTGCTTAGTGAACACAGTTGATTCGAGTAAAATGTGCACTTATACCTTTTTGTCATGCCATTTGCTATAAATAAATGTTGTAGTTGTACCTCTTTGCCATAGTTATTTATTAAATAATCGTTTTAGTTGTCCCTCTTTCCCACTGTTATTTCTAGTTAAAATTTGAATTGTTATTCGGCCATGGTTAATTATTTTTATGAAACTGTTTTCCCATAGATGTATTTCCATAGCATTAAACGGTTGCCATTCAAAGTAAGGCAAGATTATATAGCATAAATTAACTAGAACTAGACATATGCTACCTTCAAGAATCCTAACATTAACTAGACATATGCTACTGTCAAGAATCATTATTTAACCAATTTCTATTTACAAACTGTGAGTACACAAACAGTAAGAATAATAAAAATAATAAAACTTAACATGCAACCTTTATTGTAACCAGGGAGAATGCTCTCTTCTGATTGGTTGACTGTTGAAAGAACGTCACGCTTCAGCGTATCACAGTCTATCTTTGCACTTATACCCTTTTGCATTTGGAAATTACTGGAAATTGTGTAGTCATGCCCTTTTACCATGCCCCTATCTAGCCCGGGGACACTTTTTTACAATTTGTTTTTGTGTCAACATGTGTAACAAAATGTACTCACTATATAACTCATTTTCCCCAAAAATGTCAGTTATTCCACTTTGCCATTTGATACGTAGTTTAAATTATGTTCCTGTTTAAGCACTACTTTTTATCCACTGTTTGTTATTTCTGTGTTTTTTATGTATATACTGTACTGCAAAACAAGCAGCTTGTATGTATTGCTATCGTATATACATCATCCGAAGTTTTATAGGATTGTCCTCTGAGTGTCCCCTTGTTAGTATTTGCTCCTACCCCGATCAACGAGTCTAGGTGCGGGGATGAAACCAAATGTCGCTATCAATGTGAGTGTCATTCCATTCGATCTGAAAGGCATATACAGCAACATGTATGATATTGACAAATTTTAAATCAAAGATATAACTAAACTAAAAGCAATATTTTATAATAACGCAAAAGAAAATCAGTTATTGAGGAAAAATCTGGTCAAAATTGAACACCTAATATGGTATCATCCAAAGTTTTGTAAGATTGTCCTCTGAGTGTTTTCTCGTTGGTATTCGCTCAAATATGAAAATAAATGCATATTTAGCCCAGTAGCCGAAAGTGGAGGGGAAGGAGACATTAAAGTTGAGCTCCGGCGGGATTGAGGTGCGTGTTGCCCTTCTAGTACTTGTTCCCACCTCACCGATCAACGAGTCTAGGTACGGGGCTGAAACTAAATCTCGCTATCAAGGTGTTTGATGTTGGTAAAATATACAAATTAATTTGTAATATTATAATAACTTCTATGTCTATAATATTATTAAAATCACCGCCTAATTAATATAAATTACAGTATTAAAATTCAGTGAGAGCCAATATTTCTTTAAATGTGCTCTAAAATCTATAGTCAATAGAATGTAATCAAGCAAAATACTATTTAATATTATCATAAAATATACAACAGAATATAGAAAGCGGCACTTTCATGGTGGTGGAATTTCTTCATAATCCTCGTACGTGTCGCCAAGTACTTGTTTGGTAGAGGTATCGCAGGCAGTCACTTTTTCGTACGAATTTTGTTCAGTTGGTATCGGTGTCTCGTAATCTTCTTCGTCTGACTTGCTCGTTACCTGATTCTCATTCACGTAATAAATAGACTTATTCAAGTGACTTCCTGTTGTCATAGAATAGTTTGTCTTCCTAAGTTTTCTAAAATTAAAATAAAATCATATAACAAACAATTATAATAGTTTAAAATAAAATAATAATAACAATATATGACAATTGTATTAGTAACTGAAAAAATAATTATGATTGTCACAAAAAAAATCATATTTGACTGCGTTACCGAAAGAAAATATCAAGCCAGGCCCTTAGCAAGACCTGGAGGATCTAAGCCAGATGATTGTAGAGAGGCACTGAGGAAATTATGCCAATAGTTTGCATAAATTAGTATCTCCTTAGGGTAAATAATGTATTCAATAACTAATAACCATGTTTATTATAGTTCAAGTCAAATGTAAAGTAAAAGAAGAATAAATCGATAAAAATAATAATTCTAATACGGTTTGTGTTTCTTACCTGATGATGAATATCAAATATGCTGTAAACATTAGATGAACCGCTGTTGATACCACCCAAGCTACAATGTACGTGGCAAGTTTATAACCTGTAAGAAGTTTACATAAATAAATTCATGAATAATCAAATAAGCAGATTAGTAATTAGTTGAAAATAAATAATTTAATAATATAATTAATAAAATAATTATATAATATTGATTATATTTTATATAAATATCTAATAATGTAATCGTGGTATTGAATTTAAAGCTCGAAAATATCATTGATACTAAAATATGTGAAGTAAAGACTTTCTCGTCTAAGTAACTACCGTTACATTGATTGATGTCACCCTTCGAAATAAAAAAAAGCGTTACCAATGAACCGGATGTAACTAAATAATTACGTAATTAAGTAAATACCTAATCAGGTAGATGCAAATTTAATTCAAGAAGAGATTAAAAAACTACAATTAGTTTATTCTAGATGATTATTTTTAGAAAATCATATAAAAAATTCTTACTTTTTTCTTTTGTTTCAACAAGTAAACTAGATGAATAATTTCCGTATCCTTTGATAGTTCTTGCTGCTACCTGTGATGACGATAAGTTATTATTCTTAATGTGAGCACACTAATTCACATCATAGCACAGTTTGCATAGCAACTGATTATGAAATGGTATGGGCTTAAATCCCGATGTTAAGGTATGTTTGCCTTAAATGTCAAAATATGTTCTTCATTTTAGTGTTATTTGTTGTTTTTTTTTATTCTATTCTAGAGAAATCTATATGAAAATGGTTTTCAAAAGCTGATAGATAGATATATTGATTTATTGATTAATTAATTGATTGATTGATTATTTGATTTATTAATTGATTAAGTGAGTGAGTAAGTGGGGGAGTGTGTGATCGATTGAATGGTTGATTGATTGACTGATTGACTAATCTCTTAAATTATATTGTCACATTATCTTGCCTTTACGCGGTATGGAGTACTAGCATAGATATTTGTATCTACGTGTAGATACGTATCAATCGTAATTTTACTGAGTGACATCAAACACGACTCAATAGACACGTTGTATTGAATGATCTCACATGGATTTCCATCAATGTGCGGACTCCAGCGGATGTCAATTGATGAAGCGGTTGCAGATAATGAAGTTATATTGGGGACTCCAGGATCTTGAATATAAATAAAATTATATTCGATACATTTGATCTTGACAATAATATTATATTTGAATATAAATAAAATTATATTCGATACATTTGATCTTAACAATAATATCTGTCTCTTATACACATCTAGATGTGTATAAGAGACAGGGTGCGTGTTGCCCTTCTAGTACTTGTTCCCACCTCACCGATCAACGAGTCTAGGTACGGGGCTGAAACTAAATCTCGCTATCAAGGTGTTTGATGTTGGTAAAATATACAAATTAATTTGTAATATTATAATAACTTCTATGTCTATAATATTATTAAAATCACCGCCTAATTAATATAAATTACAGTATTAAAATTCAGTGAGAGCCAATATTTCTTTAAATGTGCTCTAAAATCTATAGTCAATAGAATGTAATCAAGGAAAATACTATTTAATATTATCATAAAATATACAACAGAATATAGAAAGCGGCACTTTCATGGTGGTGGAATTTCTTCATAATCCTCGTACGTGTCGCCAAGTACTTGTTTGGTAGAGGTATCGCAGGCAGTCACTTTTTCGTACGAATTTTGTTCAGTTGGTATCGGTGTCTCGTAATCTTCTTCGTCTGACTTGCTCGTTACCTGATTCTCATTCACGTAATAAATAGACTTATTCAAGTGACTTCCTGTTGTCATAGAATAGTTTGTCTTCCTAAGTTTTCTAAAATTAAAATAAAATCATATAACAAACAATTATAATAGTTTAAAATAAAATAATAATAACAATATATGACAATTGTATTAGTAACTGAAAAAATAATTATGATTGTCACAAAAAAAATCATATTTGACTGCGTTACCGAAAGAAAATATCAAGCCAGGCCCTTAGCAAGACCTGGAGGATCTAAGCCAGATGATGGTAGAGCTGTCTCTTATACACATCTATTCCTTGTCAGTTTACAAAATGTATATTATAATATTCTCTCTCATTATGTAAAACAACAAATAAATAATGCCCAAATAAGATTATATGAGAGAATAATATTTGTATCAAACATATCCCTTCAACTAAGTAATTTTTCCTTGTGAGATTCAAACCTGCAGCCTCTCGCTATCAAGGCGAGTGTCACTACACTTACCACATAGACATGAGGTATAGGCGCAGATGTAGCTTACCTTTCTCTTATACACATGCCTGAACGAATCTGAGCGTCCTTGGTTTCCTTAAGGTATTATAATTGCCTTGATTGCGAGACGTTGCAAATTAGAACTTCGTCCGTCACAAACACATTTTTTTTATACAAATGAAATAATTATATAGGCCTATTTTACTGCCTCCCGTAGCAAAAGGGCATAACTGACAATTTGCTGTTTTGGAGACATTGAGCAAAATGTGTAATTTATTTAACCCCAGAATGTGTTCTAGTATTTGATTTCATGGTTAATGTATTCCAATAGACAAGTAATGTGTCTTCCAGTGTAGCACACATGT